TAATGTCAGAAGCCAAAGGCGGGATAATAACCGTACCAAGATTTAAAATAACAATCCCTCACTGAGAGACTGACATGCAACAATACCAGATCACCCTATCCAAAAAACCTCTGTAAACTGCAAGTAACCGATGTGGCTAGGAATGCAAAATAGACTATCATTCAAAAGGTAAGAATTTGGTAAGATTTTTTTTAAATAGAACAAGTAAATGTTACTTGTTCAGGTCACATTTTTCGTCGGATATATGTCAAGTAGGATGTACTTCTTATGGTCATGTCAATATACAATGCCAGATCTGCTCTGATGTGGTGATTACAGATTACTTGATGTAATTAAACTTATCAATTTGATGGCGGATCCAGAAAGGTTCAAACGACGATCACCAGTGACAACAGATTCACCCGCTGTAAAATGCAAAAGACTTCGTTCGGACTTCGGAGTGGCTACAGAAAAAAAGAGACTGCAACCGGGCCATGCGAAAACAAGGATACATATCGGAAGTACAATGTAGTCACGCAATGCTGACGTTGTTAACATTAACAATTTGAGAACAAAGTATAATTTGCACGGTTTTGCGTGATATGATAAGCGATTGTTAGATTTAATCAGCGTGATTTACTGCAATGTCAGAACCAGAACAAAAGTGGATGTTTCTTACTTGTTCAGACTACATTTTCCGGTGAAAATTATTATGTTGGTCATACTTCCAAAAAGAATAATCTGTGATTCTGAATGCCAGTATCCACACCGGTACGGTGACTGCTGCACACTCTCCTCAAACATTGTGTTCATCTGCGCTGTGCCGTGTCGAAGTACAACCCATGTAAAGTTGATAATTCCGTGAATAACTGCAATTGCAGATTTCAAACAGAGATGGCGACAAAGAGGATAAACTGCGGACTGCAGCTTTAATTAATTTTAATGTATATTTTAAATTTTATTTAAAACTGTTACCAAAGCTGATTTTTCAGAAGCCATAACTCCAGTTCACATGCGTCACATGATCCTTCAGAAACCAGTCTAATACTGCATGGGTGCTCAAGAATTTCTTATTATCAAATAAGAAAATGTTGTGCTGCTTAATTTTAAAAGATTTTTTTTTGTTGTTGTTGTGGAAACCATAACACATTTTTTAAAGGACTCTTTGATGAACAGAACATTGAAAGAACAGTATTTACTTGAAAAAATCAAACTAAATTGTAATGTAAAAGTCACTTTTGGTCAATTGCAAAAATAAAAAAAAACTTACTTTAATACCCCAAACTTTTAAATGGTAGCATATATCTCTGTACCATAAACAGCTGATATTGAGTATCGCAAAATAAATATAAATTTTTTCATACTGTATATTATAATGTTGTGATGCCCAAGTTTACTTGTAGCATATTTAATATGGTTGATTTTAGGTTTTTATATATATATATATATATATATATATATTTTTTTTTTACAAAACTCTATTATTAATAGTAAATTATTAAATATATATTATAGAGTTTTAATATTGGCCATTTATCAGTTATTGGTCATTCTAACATCACTGGCTTATTAGTATTGGCCAGAATTGTAATATCGGTGCATGCCTAGATGTGGCAATATGAACCAGTTGCGCGGCATCCAAATTATTTTCTCAGTTTGTCTAAAAATTATTTTTATTAGCAAATATCATATGTGTGAATTGATTGCTATGAATATTATTCCTTACAATATCTGGTAATTTCACAGTGATAGTGAATAAAACTTAGGGGTGTAACGATACATCGATATGGATCGATGCATCGATCAAACGTCTTACGATACGATGCATCGATGCCACACGCAAAATATCGATTATGAGGTACCTTTATTTTAACAGTCTCTCCACGTCCTCACGTAACATCCGTCATTTCCGCATTTCCGCCAAAGCGCAATGAAATGAAAAATGTAATTTTCTTTTTCTCACCATAACGTTACTGGCTGACTGTCACTTGTTGTGTGTGTCGGATTGCGAATGAGATGCAGCAACAAAGCAGCTGTAGCAGCGAAAAGACAGACGCAGAAAATGTTGTGACTGCTGTCGGACGCAAATCGTGGGTTTGGAAACATTTTGTACTATTTTCCAAAACAGATGGTCAGGTAAATAAAACCCATGTTATGTGTACACATTGCCAGTGCCAGCTAAAATACTCGGGAAATAATACAAACTTGTCAGCATCTAAAAAAGAAACATGGAATTGAGGAGAGTAATTTGGCTGACGAAAAACAGCCTCTGTCACCCCCGATGAAGAACTTTTTCGCTCAGACAACTCCAAAAGAGCAACTAGCATTATGTTAATTTTTTTTTTTTTTTTTTTTTTACAACTAGAGTACCTCAGTTATTTGCACTATTGCACATGTTTGCACAAAAGACTGGAAGACTGGAAGACTGGAAAAGACTTTGACTGTTGCCATAAGCTTGATTGATTTTATCAATCCCCCATCCATTATTTACTTTTCTTTCTTTCTTTCTTTTTTCAATTTTTGTTGTGTTGTTGTAAATGTCCCAAAATTGGGAAAGAGGGTGCAATTTTCAAAGTGTTTAATTAAACATTAATGTTATATATCTTTTGGTTGTATTTGTGAGTTAATAAAAATGTAACTGGTTGTGTAAAGTGGCAAAAATATCTAAATATCGATTAATCGATTGATATAGCCATGAATCGAATCGTATTGAAGAATTTTTTGAAGTATCGGCAAAAATCGTATCGCTGGCTAAGAGAATCGATATCGAATACTATCACGATGAACTGTCCGATTTACACCCCTAATAAAACTACTCTGGATTTTAAAACATTTTCTTGGTTAGTAAAGTCACTTGTCATTTTCAGATCTCAAATCAATAGAAACGTAGGGGTTTGCAGTATAAGAACCAACAACATTTTGTTGGAAATGGGCTAACAGAGCGCAAACAAAAACAAAGTCTAAATGAACAACAAGCTTGAATATTGAAATTTGTCCCACAGTGAGTCACACCCAAGGACCATGGATGTGTCTTTCCCAGCGTCTGTCTGTTTCTGTACCTCTTTCCTTGTCAGTCAGCCTCTGAACACATAAAGGCTCTATTAGCATTAGGAGTGGTGGGTGAAAAAGTGTGACAGTACACAACATTACATAAAAGCTCCTTGCATGGTGAGGATCATTTAAAAGCAAGATCACCCGACTAAAAGCTTCATCTCTCAACAGCTTAGAGCGAATGGCAGATAATAGATCTGTCTGATTGAGCGCTGCTCAGTCAGAAGCTACAAAAGAAATCATCAGTGCTAAACTGTTCACTTAAATTCAGCTTCTCTATCTGATCAAACTGGCCCAGAAGCCCTTCTTGGGTTATTACAGTTTAAAAAAAATAAAATAATTCAAAACACTAGGAAAGGATTTTTATTAATGCTGTGAACATGTTAAAGATTGAGCTATAGAGATTTTAATTGTCAATAGACAAAACAAAACCATACATAAGAGAAAAGCCAAGCTGTGGCAGCTGAATAAACAATATCCGAATAATGATGCAGCGCTTACAATCCAAGACTGGACTTTCCCAAACAACATATTAAACTTAGAAAACACTGACACTAAAAGCATGGGAGTCGAATGATATGTTGAATAAAAAAAAGAGAAATAGCTGTGCTATGCATTGTATTAATATCACCTATATTTAAGGCTGAACAACATAGTGTATATTATAAAAAATATAGCATAAACACACTATTTATCATACAGTCGTATGATAATTTATTTCTTAAAGTGCTGCAGATAATACAACGGTCCTGACCTAACCTAAAACCTACTGCCTTAAGCCCCTTAACACCATAGCTGAGCAGTAAGGACTTCTGGAGCTCCCATTACTTAGATTTCCCTTATCAAGCTGACACATTGTGCAATAATCTCATTAAACATTTAAGTCCAACTCCTTCCTAAGGCACTCCCAGCCCTTGCCTTTTCCATCCTCTAACCAGTGAGAGGAAACTGATGTTTTACGGGGGCCACCCTAAGAGCTGATAGGAGGGAGGGGGAAGGTAAATGAGTTATCTGAGCAGCCCAGGCTCCTTTATGAGAGCAATCAATTCATATCAGATCCCCACACTTATAAACCCCAGTCTAGCTACTGAATCACATCAGTGAGGGTATGTTCGTTGGGAGTTGGAGGCTGTTGTATCCTTATGGCTGGGCTCGTCCGAGCTTTTGATTTGTGTGATCCCTTACAGCTGGAACTGCTGCAGTGTTATGCCTGATGCAAAAGCCATTACAAGCCAGAAGTTAATAGCCATTCATAGGATATGTGCAATAGTGTTGCTCTTCGTGTGTTTTGGTACACCAAAGTACAGCAGAGTGCTGTGTCAGACAATTAGATCCACTGCCGTGACAGTAACAACAATATGATAATGATAGCAATTGACTTGATGAGGAAGAACAAATGGGACATGACGGCAAGTGTGTCTGTTGCACTGAATGCACATAGGAGCCACACGGAGAGGGATTGTTTCCAAACAGTCAGGGGCCCCAACCTGTCATATGCTGCCTTATGTCCAAAATGATCATCAGGCAGTAAAAACGAGCATGCAAAATTCCTAAACCCAGTGTTACGTTGGCTCCTTCAAGCTGTCAGTCAATAGCAATATCTACATTTTGTCCAAAAGAACCAGCGCGCAATGACACGTCCATTATAACTCACGAACTACAACTGTTGCAAATATAAAAACATTTTGTTGACTTGAAAATTGAGGCTTTATATTGCGTTTCTTTGGAAAAATAAGACATGCAACCACTCTGTCATTATTACAACTACCTTTACTTCCTACTTTTACCAATACAGCCCGTCTACCACCCATTTGTCCATGGGCAGATCTCACAGCCTGTTATAGAGCATGACCAAACCATAGAACGACTGTTCATTCCAGGTACACGCATACACTCAAATCTCAACGTTTTCTCACTTTAAATAGTCCGTTAGACCAATCGGTCTTGAGTGGCATGGGGTTTCTACTTACATTTAACCACTCTGTCCGTCGTGGATAACTTCGGATCATCATTCGGTTTGTTTTCAGACATTTCCAGTCAAATTTGTGTCGATTCTCTCTGAAACTGTTCTTTAAAACGATCCGATGTACTTCCTTGCTCAACAACTCAACTCTTCCCCAAACGGGAGACGGCAGTGATATCGATCGCTTGTATCACTGGCCAAAAATACTTGCAACAGGGTGACAAATTTCAACGCTGTTACTGTAGCTCTTTCTGATTTACTGCAACACTGTATCAAGTTCTCAGCGAGCACAACCAAACATACAGCCGTAAAGGACACGCCCACTACCCTGATGGCGCCACTTATTGGTGGAAAGGACCCTCCCGCTCTGAAGATGTGCTTCCCATATGGTCTGCTGTGATGTCAGTCATAAGTGTCTGCGTAAATATTGTCATATTAGAATTGTGTACTGGACTCTGAAGAGGGGAGTATAATTACAGTGTTTCATTTAACATGTGAAAGACTATGCGGAGAATTTTGTCTCTCTCGTTAGCTTCATGTTTCATGTCCACATAAGTGCGTTGTATTATATGCAGGCTAACAGTGTAGGCTATTGCATGCGCACATTTTCAGACGTTCATCTCTCGTATTATCTGGATAAGTAATTCTACTGTCACTGCCAATATGATCCGCCTATTAAACTGTGTACATATATATAGAGAGAGAAGGTTCCATCATGATACTGAACGAACAAGTTCAGATTTGAACAGATTTTTCCCCACCACCAAATACAGATTGTGTGTGTGTGTGTGTGTGTGTGTGTGTGTGTGTGTGTGTGTGTGTGTCAAAAAGAAATCGACGTATATTTTATTCATTAAACGTTAGGTTTTCTTGACTTAAAACAAGTTACAACAAACAATTCATCTGAGGTTTCATTTACAAAAGGATACATATGAGGCAGCAGCCATGTAACTCACTGACAGTTACAGATTTATAAACACACTTCTGCTCAATGGTATATGGTTGTTATCATTTTGAACCCATGATTCTAACCAAGGTTATTACTAATCTATCACCTATAACTTGTCCCATTCAACAGACAGCGATGGATGGATTCCAAACCCATTATGCTAAGTTTATGTCACTAAAACATTGCTGCAGATCTCTCTGAAGCCACCGTATAGGTAAATTATGGCCTATTACCTGCCTGACTTCAGGGTGAGAATTTGCAAGTGGCTTGCATGGGTCTAGCATGATCAGCTGCAGTTGCACACTCACTGTCATTCAGATATGATGATGCTCTAAAAGTTACTGTGGATCACAGCTGACCAGCACACACAGAGCTGTGAAAACACTGATAACAATAACACTTTAAAAGACTTGTCATCAAGGTCCCTAAAGCCATGGCCATGGTGTTTCAAACAGCAGTTGTTAAACATTTGCATGGTTATAAAGCCTCATAAAAACATTGTTCCATAGGAAGGCAAAGAAAGAAAGAAAGATAGGAATAATTGTATAGGCATAACCTATTCCTATACATCTTGCACCTGTTATCCCTTTACTGCAGAAAAATCAATTCTTCCCAGAAAAGGTCTCCATGGATACATTCCTAGCAATGCAAAATGCAAGAAACTTTCTTTTTCTTTAGCAGTCATTGATTGCTAGTGTCAGGGATGAGGCTGTGTAGAAAATGAAAGCTTTAGCGTAAGTTCTGCCGGGAAGACTCAATTGTTACGTCACTTATTACCTTCTCATCTATCCAATCGTGTTCTAATACTTGTAGTATAAAAGATCGGTACTTACACATGTCTGAGTTCGCAGATGCTGACGCCTACATTCACCTCCATCCTCCCCACCACCACCAGGATGGTCCCTTCCCATACATCCCAGGGGGTCGGCTGCGCCCCTGCCTTCATCTTCAGGCAGGAAATGCAGATTCCGTACCCTCGGATTGCGAGCTACAGACGGGGCCTACGGCAAATAACTTTATATCACAATACTTGCTTGCTGGGCTTTTAATAAATGTATGGTTGTTACGTTATTTTGCCTGCCGAGTCTTTCTGGTGGAACTGCATTTCAGCTTTATCTTGGCCAATTCTTCGGGAATTCGCCACTGGCTCTTATGTAGATAGTGGTTAAACATAAGATATAATTCATTTTGTGTATATCAAATAGGCAGTCTTTGGTCTTATTAATCTATTACTTGTTCCAGAGCAAATCAATTTGGCTAAAGGCAAAGTTAAATTTCATAACTTTATATATTTTATGAGTACTGTGAATTCAGGCATACTTTTGTCACCTACTGTTTTTCACCCTACTTTAAAGTAGGGAAGCATGCGATTTCGGATGCAGACAAAGTGTAAATAGGGCCCTAGTGTCTTATGGTGAGTGCGGTTCAGAGTTAGCTCGGGACGTACACTTCTCTGTCCACGCGAGTTGTATTGTGTACTGAGCATGGTGCCGAGCGTGGTAAGTTTGCCCACTTACAAAGAAATGAAGGGTCAATCATTTTTATGGTAGGTTTATTTTAACGGATAGCGACAGAATATCAACCAAAACATTCAGAAAAAACACATTATAAATTTTCTTCAGTTTATAAATTGATTTGCATTTCAGTGAGTGAAATAAGTATTTGAACCCCAAGCAAAACATAATTTGGTACTTGGTGGAGAAACCCTTGTTGGCAAGCAAAGAGGTAAGACGTTTCTTGTAGTTGGTCACCAGGTTTCCACACATCTCAGAAGGAATTTTGGTCCATTCCTCTTTACAGATCCTCTCTAAATCCTCAAGGTTTCTTGGCTGTCGCTTTGCAACTCGAAGTTTCCGCTCCTTCCACAGATTTTCTATAGGATTAAGGTCTGAAGACTGGCTAGGCCACTCCATGACCTTAATGTGCTTCTTCTTGATCCACTTTTTTGTTGCCTTGGAGCAGAGATGCTCATAAGTCTCTGAGCTAGAGTCCAAGTCAAGTCTCAAGTCTCAAGTCTCTGTGCTAGAGTCCAAGTCAAGTCTGAAGTCACGTACAGCGACCCATCCAGGCTGCATAGAACACTGCATATCTATATATAAGGAATTCAAAGCATGTAATATGTTATTATGACTCCTTTATCTATTAGCATAAAGTATCAGCTTTGATTTTGGTATATAATCAGTGTAAACAGGCTATTGCAACATGACAAAAACACCAAGAATGCTTTACTTTTATGTTAATATCTGTATTTTGGCGTGAAAAAAATTGTGCGATCTCTCAGCCACGTGTGGCTCGTGATTTCCACGCCCCCGCCATCACTTGCAGATCCATGTAGGCCTAATGCAGACTGATCTCATGAAATGGCGTATGTATGACACGCCAATTCGTATTTCCATTTTTGGTGTGCTATCAACACGCATAATCGCTTTTCAGCGTGTTTATCAACGCCTTTGACTTAACGTTATATTACTGTATTATGTATATATAAATATATGACCTACCCCAACCCCGTCCCTAAACCTACCCGTCACTGGGGTTAATAACATTTATGAGTCTTCTCCAACCATCCTAGGAAAAGAAATATCGCTCCACAGATGTAGATATAGATTTTGCTTCATTTCGCTCGGACATTTAACGGCGTACACATACACGCGGAATCACTCGGACATTTAATGGCGTAGACATACACGCAAAAGATTTCGGCGTGGACATACACGCGGATAGCTCAAAATGCGTATAGATAACACGCCACTTGAATTGAAAGTGGCGTGTATGTTTACGCAAAGTCATGATGTCATGTTGCCTAATGTGCACTGCCTACGCAACTAATCATAGCTTATAAACTACTATAAGTCAGCAACACATCCCAGACTCTCAAACCAGTGTAACGTTATAACTAAATGAAACAACAATAATCCTGTAACCTGTTTGCAGACAACGTTAATAATTAACGTAATGGAAGCCAACGGCACGTAAATTATTACGTTAATCGACCACCACAAGTTTGGCAATTAAACAAACGCTCATTAATATTTCATAAGGAAGACAGTTGGAGTTAACCTCCCGTAACGTTAGGTTGTAGCTAAAGCAAGAAGCAAGCTAACGGTAGATGGTCAATGCTGAGCTAAACATGTTTACTGACCTCAGGGTGTGTTTTCAGATGCCTGATGAAATTAGATGTGGTTGAGCCAGAATCTTTTATCCTGATACCGCATATTTAGCATTGAGCGCTTCTTTTGTTTGGGCCGTCTTGTTTGAAGTTTTTAAACCCAAAGCTTACAATGAATGGCACAGCAGCAGCCGGTGCAGTTGACATGTTTTTTTGTTGTCCTCTTATGTGTGGTCGCGCGCGCAGCCGATACGTAGTACGTGTTACGTAGGCAGGTTATAGGTAACGGAGGGAGGTAGGGGTGTGACCAAGGGGGTAATCCATCGACCGGAAGTTGAAGCCGGCCGGGTGCCGCCATGTTGTAGCAGAACTTCACTTGCGTTAGCATTTCCATTGACTCCCATTCATTTTGGCGTCACTTTGACAGCGAATAACTTCACATCTGAGGCGTTTAAAGACTCCATTTGTCCATTATTTATTTCTAAAGAAACACGACAATGTATAAAGGGCTCCATTACCTTCTATGTTACATTGTGGCCCCGTAGAAACAGATTTTGTAAAAATAGGCTAACGATTGCGTCATAACCACTCGACTCTCTGTCGTGCTGTACAGAAATTACCGTACAGACAGGAGGAGAAGCTCGCAGGCAATCGGGGGGACGTCCCGTCAAGGGAGAAGCCCATAGATAATGAGTCCATAAAAGCAACGGAATACTTACTCCTGCTCACTCACGCCAAAGAACTCTTTGCTCAAGTTCCCCGTCTCTGCAAGATTAACGTTGGCAGTTTGCACGCACAGCTACTCGAAGATTAACGTCTGTCAGACACCTTGCTCACGTCATCAAGCTTAGTTTGAGTCGGTCTGAGTCTGCGCGTCAGGAACGGAAGTGCTCAAAAATCGCTAAAAATGGGCTTCAACTGTCTCAACTGAGTTCCAATGAGATGGCTCTGTCCACTTCTTATACTGAGGTTAATAACAGCGAGCTCATCAGACGTTTCCTAAAAATAAACATTGTTCACGACTCCCGCAGCTCGAGTCCGAGTCGAGTCTGAAGTCTTTCGAGGACGAGTCTCAAGTCGAGTCTGAAGTCACTGTGTGTGCAACTTAAGTCGCACTCGAGTCCAAGTCTCAAACTCGAGTCCCCATCTCTGCCTTGGAGGTATGTTTTGGGTCATTGTCATGCTGGAAGACCAATCCACGACCCATCTTCAGTGTTCTGGCTGAGGGAAGGAGGT